CAGCCCTGTGCAAGCCAGGCCGTGAAAAAGGGCTTGTAAGTCTCCACCATAAAACTGGGAACGCTGGGAGGCAGATACAATCGAAGGTTAACACCGTGGGTTCTCGTGGGAAATCTGGCCTAAAGAATACATTGTATCCACTGAAGCTTGCTCTGCTTTGCACTTCCCTGATAAGGAAAAACCAGATGTTTAAGCTCCAAACAGAAAGAGTAAATTCCTAAATTCAGGAGCCAGACCTTAATGACCATCTGATGTCAGCATGTCTAGCAGACCCTGACTTGAGGCAAATCTCTGTGTTCCTTCAATTGTTATCTATGATCTATCTGCTTTCTGTAAATATAGCCTTTAGGCACTGATTGATAAGCTTTGCATGCATGCTGTATATGTTCTTAATAAAAGCCACTTCAGAGAAGAGCTCAGGGCATTCTCTTCTAGAGGAAATTGTCTTCTTTTCTTTTCTTTTCTATATATTTTATTAATTATGCTATTAGTTGTCCCACTTTTTTCTCCCTTTTATTCCCCTCCACCTTGCAATGTCCTTCCCCCAGCAACACCCTGTCCCCCAACCAAGTTCATGTCCATGGGTCATACATATAAGTTCTTTGGCTTCTCCATTTCCTATACTATTCTTAATGTCCCCCTGACTATTTTGTACCTACTATTTATGCTGCTTATTCCCTGTACCTTTTCCCCCATTTAACCCCCCTCCCTGCCCCTCCCCTCTGATCTCCATTTCTATGATTCTGTTCCTGTTCTAGTTGTTTGCTTAGTTTGTTTTTGTTTTTGTTTTTTTAGGTTCAGTTGTTGATAGTTGTGAGTTTGTTGCCACTTTACTCTTCATAGTTTTGATCTTCTTCTTTCTCTTAGCTATGTCCCTTTAACATTTCATATAATAAGGGCTTGGTGATGACAAACTCCTTTAACTTCACCTTATCTGGGAAACACTTTATCTTCCCTCCATTCTAAATGATAGCTTTGCTGGATAGAGTAATCTTGAGCGTAGGTCCTTGCTTTTCATGACTGAATACTTCTTTCCAGCCCCTTGTCTGCAAGATTTCTTTTGAGAAATCAGTTGATAGTCTTATGGGAACTCCTTTGTAGGTAACTGTCTCCTTTTCCCTTGCTGCTTTTAAGATTCTCTCGTTATCTTCGATCTTGGGTAACTTAATCATGATGTGCCTTGCTGTGTGCTTCCTTGGGTCCAACTTCTTTGGGATTCCCTGAGCTTCCTGGATCTCCTGGAAGTCTGTTTCCTTTGCCACGATGGGGAAGTTCTCCTTCATTATTTTTTCAAATTAGTTTTCAATTTCTTGCTCTTCCTCTTCTTCTGGCACCCCTATGATTTGGATTTTGGAACATTTAAAGTTGTCCTGGAGGTTCCTAAGCCTTTCCTCATTTTTTTTGAACTCTTGTTTCTTTGTTCTGTTCTGGCTGAATGTTTATGTCTTCCTTCTGCTCCCAATCATTGATTTGAGTCCCGGTTTCCTTCCCTGCACTATTGGTTCCCTATATATTTTTCTTTATTTCACTTTGCATAGTCTTCACTTTTTGCTCCATTTTTTGACCATACTAAACCAATTCAGTGAGCATCCAGATTACCATTATTTTGAACTGTGCATCTGATGGGTTGGCTCTCTGTTCATTGGTTAGTTCTGTTTTTGGAGCTTTGATCTGTTCTTTCATTTGGGCCATATTTCTTTGTCTCATTGTGCTTGTTATGTTGGGAGGGGCTAAGCTTTCAGTATTGCCAGGGTGGGGCAACCGAGGTCCCTCCATTGTGATGTTGTGTGTGGTGGAGGGGTCCGAGAGGGAACAGAGCTGCTTGCTCAGCTCTCACCTGTCTTTCAGTCCCTTCCCCCACTTCCCACAAGCAAATTGGACCCTTCTGGTGCTGATTCCTCGGTGGGTGGGTTTGTGTACGTTCTAGGACCCTGTGGGTCTCTCCAACAGACTCTCCTGTGAGGCTGGGAGTTTCTCCTGCTGCCACAACCCCCACACGTTTTTACCTCCAGAGGTCTTGAGGCTTTCTTTTCCCCTCACTCAAAGGCTGTATTGTGCGGTCGGCTTCTGTCCCCCGCTGCTCCTCATGGTTTATCTGCATGCAAACGTGGGAACTCCCAGACCGCCAGCCACCACCTCGCCTGCGTTGTCCTCCTGCCACTGGCTTACTGCTCGTCCTCTCCGCCCCAGCTGCCCGTCTCTGCCCCTCCTATGGGTCTGGATGAATGTTTCTTCAGTAGCTCCTCGTTGGACTTCCATACAATTCAATCTTCTGGCAGTTCTGGTTATTTTTTGTTTTTAAATTTGTTGTCCTTCTTTTGGTTGTGCAAGGAGGCCGCCTTTCCCTCTTCTTGACAGCCCTTGGTATCTGGAATGACTTGTTATTTCATCTGCAGCGAATTAGAGGACTCCAGTTGAGGTCCTCCACAACTTCATTAGAATTCATCACCCTCATTAGAATTTTGAATAGATTGGCAGAAGTGTCCCAAGGCAAAGATATCTATTTGGAAATACTTTGTTCATAATTAGCCTGAGTTTCTGAACTGAAACATAACTGAAACTGAACTAACTGAACCGAGTCACTGTAATAATATATTTCTAAAGTTTGACTTTCAAAATTTGAGAATTGGTGAAAACAGCACAATTCAGTAAAGCTAGTGGGAATTATGGATGTGTGTGTGCGCCTGTGTTTAGAAGGCAGTAGAGCTGCCTGTCAGAGGGATGTCAGAGTCCCTTTTAATTTTCTTTGGCAAAAGGGCAGATGAATATACCATCAGCAGGCCCAAAGTCAGTTATGTTCAACAGGGCTTTGGAGAATAGAGGCCGGGTAAAGTTCATAAGGATTCTGAGAAGCATGTGTAATTTGAAAAATGATATTTAATATACCTATACCTCCTGAGTGTGTATAAATCTAGTCAGAGTCTTTTCGGCTGGTGTGGTCACATAGGACATAAAGCATTGCAGGAAACTGGGTTTGAAAATTGATGAGAACACCCACCTTATACATTATGTTTCATAACTTAGTGTAAACTTTTTATCTGTGTCTGCGAGTTTTCTAATGCTTGAAATTGCTTGAATGGGGGTTCCCTTTTACTCTTCACTGACAAATCAGGTTTGAATACTAGTATCCTTCCTGTAGACAATTTGAACCCCCAGGAAGGGTGATTTAAACTCACATTAACCAGACTGTTAAGATCTTTTTTAAACATAGCAATCTAAGGTGAAGGTAGGGAGAGTGCTGGAAGCCAGTGTAGGAAATGAGAGAGGCCCTTTGCACAGAGAAGCTAAAGATAGGGAGAGATGGAAACCTGGAGACTAGCACACAATTGGCTTAATACCAGCCTATCTGACTAAACAAATGTTCAAAACGGCCTGTGCCTGCTTATCTTTCACTAACTTTATGGGTAATCTTGGAATCAGAGCAATAATGAAAGGGGTTCTTTAAGATGGACCAGAGAGGTTTCTTCCTGATGAAATTCACATTATCACCAGGCCCAGCCAAACCTCACCACAGGCATCTAGAAGAGACAAAACAAAACTCCTAGAGTGATGGTTCTTATCTTTCCTTTCTTCCCCTGGGCCTCTCAGCAACCATGATGAAAAGCTTCCTCCAAAGCGGTTTATTCACTTCTCAGCCCAGGCCTTTCCTTTTCACTAAGAGTCAGCTGTGCCCACCCAGCTAACATCATCTCCACATGTGAGAGTTGCCAGATGCAGCTGTAGATGGACAAACTACACTGCCTTGAACAACTGGTTTGCGCATAGCTGTTGAAGCTCCATCACTGCATCTAGCCATTAAGAAAAACTGGTAGAAACCACCACCAGTGGCTTAAATATATACTACTAGAAATTAAAATCAGCCCTGACCAGCGTGGCTCAGTTGGTTGGGCACTGTCTGCAAAGTGGAAGGTCACCAGTTGGTTCCATGTCAGGGCACATGCCCTGTCTGGGTGCATAGGAGAGGCAACCAACGGATGTTTCTCTCCCTCTCTTTCTCCTTCCCTTCCCCTCTCTCTAAAAACAAATAAATACAATCTTAAAAAATAAAATAAAATCATTCTGTAGACATAAGGGGCAAATTAGCCCAGAACAATCATTCTTACACTTTTATGTTCAGACAACATGGGACTGCAATATGGTTACGGGAACAAAAAACCTGTCTATCAGATCTACATTAGCTTCTTTTCCTATTTTTTTAAGAGTGTGTGTATATGTGTGTGTTTGGGGGTTGGGGTAGAGAAAATGTCAATGTTTTTCTTGCCTGTTTTACAGGAATTGTTCGAAGTACTAAACTTGTGAAATAGTTGGCAGCATCCTACAACTGTAGGATGGTGATAAATATTTTTAAATCTCTTATTTATCACCCAAACACATCAGGTCATAATTTTATGTTGGTCTAGTAAAACAATCTCTATTAGAGATAGTTTTCCTATCTCTAATCAAGTGGGCACTACTCTAGGAGCAAGGCCTGGTAATATTTTAATGATAGAACTGTGATATTAAGTTGATCCCAGAAAGTATTTTCCCAGGAATTCTTAGGAACCTTTCACAATCTTTTTCAGACTTCCTTCAGAAACTCACCCATAGACAAAAAAATCCTACAAGTTCCACAAGCTCTATGGGGCTAGAACCAGGGACCCAGGAACGAAGTGGTCTTCCAAAAGTCAGGATTTGCAATCCTGTTTGAAAATGTAGGTCGGGCGGGGAATCTCAGGCCATATTTCTGTCCCAGTCAACTCGCCGGTGTCCAGCCTTCCTCTGCCTTCTTCCTGTGGTTGATTGAACAGCACACCAGGGCTGTAATTTACAAGCCTCTTTTATCTCTGCCTACGCTCCCACTGTGCTCTGGCACCCTCTGCAGTCCGGCTTTCTTTCCGTCGACACACCCTTCGGTGGAAAGCGGATCCTTTATCTTTCCCCGCAGCAGTCTTGGAGGCGGCGATAGGAGCCGCACTACAGCTCCCAGAATCCCCCGCTCGCCAGCCACCGCCTCCCGCGGGTTACTACCCGCCTCCCAGGAGCCCAACCAGGTACAAGATCTTCTTCGCTGAAAGTTTCCTGACCCATCGCGGCGTGTTGGCTCGGGACTACTGGGAGCGCCCCAGGGCCGATCTCCGGGACGAGGGCACTGCCCAGGGTGACGACGCGAGAGCATGGCCTTGCACCTGGGCAGGCTGAGCGCAGGCCCCTGCTGGCGCGTGGCGCGTGGCGGCTGCGGAGAGCTGCGCGAATGGTCCCGACGCTGCCCGGCCCGACGCTTCTGCCGGCCCCCTGGCGTGGCCAGCGCGGAGCAGACCCGCGGGCTGGGGCGGGGCGCGATGGCCAGAGGCGGCTCTCGGCTGGGGACCGGGCTGGCCATGGCGCTGGCGGGGCTGGCGGGACTAGGCGCCGCCGCCTTTGTGCACTCAGAGCGGGCGGAGATGGTGCCCAAGATCTCGGGGGCGCAGGGCCCCTCGCCGGGGAGGCCGGAGGAGGAGGACGAGCTGGCCCGCCGTTGCAGCGGCTTCATGGCCTCGCCTGTGACCGACCTGCGCGAGCTGCAGAGGAGGCCAGGTGACACGAAGACCAAGATGGAGCTACTGATCCTGGAGACCCAGGCCCAGGTGTGCCGGGCGCTGGCACAGGTTGATGGCGGCGCCAGCTTCTCTGTGGACCGGTGGGAGAGGAAGGAAGGTGAGGAGGTCGGCATGTAGCGAGAGGTGAAGATGGGCAGAAGGGGTCGGGCTTTAGGTGGCCGGCAGAAAATGACTCACAATAGGGAGTGGGAGTAGGAAAGGGGTGTCTGCTAGATTAAAAGGGACACGGTTAAAAAGATTGGAAGGGTCTTCAGCCTTCTTCTGACAGGTGTGGAACCAGATCTGCTGTCACTCTAGTACTGGACATTTCAAAGTTTTTGCAGTTGTATAATGGTGTTTTTCGTAGAAGTCTTAGGGTTATTTTAGCCAACAAGCGTGGATGTCCAAATTTGTACCTGAGCGTAGATGTCCCCCATATTTCATCTCTTTCTCTTGGTGCATTTACACCTTCCCGTTCTTTGGAGATGGAAAGAGAAAATGGGCCCCTCTTTGCTAAGTGTCAGCCAGACTCCTCTAGCCAAGGATGCCATTGTGTCGCTGTCCCAGATTGCACGATATTTGATTGGTTTGTCAGTAGTTCTACAAAATGCACCAATCCGTTTCCTTCCAATATTAAATACCTTAGTATTACAACCCAGTTCTTACATATTCATGACCATTTTATTACTTATACAGTGAAACCCCACATCTTGGTCCTAAACTTGAAGGATTTCTGACTTTTCTGCAGCAACTTCTCATCAGCTGGTCTTGGGCTTTGATACTGCCATATTTCTATTAAGTGAAGTTTAACCTGGTTTTCCATCTTGTAATGTTTTCAAGTAAAGACCATTGAACCAGGACACAAAATCTCAAGTACTAGACTAGCTGTGTGACCTTCAGAAGTTAACCTTTTTTGTGTGTGCCTCTGTTTCCTCAGCTATGAAACGAAGTTAGAAATAACATATGAGGGTATTATAAAGATTAAATGAGATAAATGTCAAGTGTGTAAAATAGTGCCTTGATGCATATTGGTTTGGCCAAAAAGTCTGTTACATTTTTTTCTGTATGGTCTTTCTAGAAACAATTTTGTTAGATTGTATTGTGACAGCTGTCATATCAGCTTGCACTTAAAAAAAAATAACTTATCAAAATTGGTGAATTTTTGTGCAATCATTTTAATATTGAAGGTGGAAGAAATATGCGACATTTTCAGCATATTATTTTTTATTTCAAGAAAGGTAAAAATGCAACTGAAACATCAAAAAAAGATTTGTGCAGTATATGGAGAAGGTGCTGTGACTGATCAAATATGTCAGGAGTGGTTTGCAAAGTTTCTTGGTACTATTGATACTTTGGCCAAATAATTCTTTGCTGTCGGGCTGTCCTGTGCACTGGAAGATGTTTAGCAGCATCCTTGTCCTCTACCCACTGGAAGCCAATAGCGGGAGATAGCTGATATACTCAGAATATCTGAATGAACAAAGTTATTGGTGAAAATGAAAAATGTGTGTTTTATTTTATGGAAGAAATGAAACAGACTTTTTGGCCAACCCAAAAGAAAGCACTGAGACAAATTGGGCCACTTGCCAGGTACGTGTCCTTGGATGAGGTGTTTTGCCTTTCTGTGTCTCTGTTTTCTCATTTGAAATATACAGGAGTTGTACTGGATCGTCTTATGTCTCATCAGCTCAAAAAAGTTTTAGAAATAAAACAAGGCAAACATGAACCTTTATGAAACAGTTGCTCTGGTGGAACCTCTAGTGTTTTAAAAAAAACAAACAGACCTGCTAATGTTAGTAAAACTTATATACTTAAACGACACTTTGTATCTCAGTTTAAGGTTCCAAATCCCTTACATGGTCAAATATCTACTGTTTTTCAATTGCATGTAAACAAAATTAAAAGGCAAACAGCACACTGAGAGAAAAAACAGCAGAAACAACATGATGCTCTCTAATTCGGTAATAATACAACAGTCTTCAAGTATACCTATTCCTGTTTTAACCTTAGCTTTCTTTCATATATTACAACCACAGCAGCATTATTTGACGTTCCAGTGACTGATTTTAGATAACAGCATAAAAATGTAGAAGAAATACCCAGTTTGGTGATTTGGGGAGATAATTTTTGCCTGCGGTCAGTAGCAAAAGTCGTAAAGCTAAGCTAATTATCTAATTTTATTACACCTGAAAATTGTAAATACACAGAAATTATAGAAAATACAGGAGGAAAATAACTCCTAATCCCACCACGTTATGCAAGGGTTGTTTTCAATTTTGCACTTTGTTTCCGATTTTTCATTCTCTCCTCATTTTACATTTCAATAAATAGGAGGTGGTGGCATCAGCTGTGTACTTCAAGATGGGCGTGTTTTTGAAAAGGCCGGGGTGAGCATTTCTGTTGTTCACGGAAATCTTTCTGAGGAAGCAGCAAAGCAAATGAGAAGCAGAGGAAAAATGCTGAAGACTAAAGATGGTAAGCCAGTCTCAGCAGCCTTTAATAGTTGTTGCAAACCATTCTTCCCACAAGTTTTACTTGTAAAGTAAATATTGCTTCTGTAAAAAGCATTTGGGTGCATATGCTTGATAAGCATGTTCATAATTACTTTTCTAAAGTTATATTTTAAGAAAAAAATTAAAAAGCAGCTTTTGGAAACTGATCCAGAAACCATGTTGGAGTTACTTTGCATCAAGTCAGGTGACTGAGTGTAGCTCACTGTGTGTTTTACTTTCCAGGTAAATTGCCATTTACTGCTATGGGTGTGAGCTCTGTTATCCACCCCAAGAATCCTCATGCTCCTACTATGCATTTCAATTACAGATACTTTGAAGTAGAAGGAGCTGATGGTAAGTGTGCCTGAAGCTGTGGAAAGTCTCACTGTGCAAAGTGTGTATTTTAAAACAGGTTAGAGTTTTAACAATAACAAGAAAGAATAAATATAATTTTAACTAGGTTTTTCAGGCTTATTCCTTGACAAGGGTAACGGACCATGCACTGAACATGAAAAGTGAATATGGTATTGGCTGGACCCTGACCTCCTCCATATTTCCTCCAGCACAGAAGGAATGATTTAATAAGCCTCAAGTTAAAGTGCATGCACACAGGGTTCTTTGCAAATATAAAGTGATTACATCTGAAGGAAAACCTCATGCTCAAGGTTAAGTTGATTGAGAGCTTGCTTTTGAAAAATATCTCCCACATGCATAGCCTCGTGAGTCACCAGTGCGTTATGAGATGGGTGGATTCTGCCTCATTGGGCACAGGTCGTTCCCCCCTGGCTCCCCCGTTAGCTAGGCCAGCTCTTCTCACCCGGCAGAGCATCTGTGCAGTGCCTCGCTCCGCCTGTTGGTGTCTCTGCAGGTGAAGCATTTAGAGTCAATGTATTTAACTTTTCATTTTGAAGCTACTTAGTTTGTTCAACCTTTTAATGTTTAAAAATTGGTAACTGGTACTGGCAACCTGTAGACCTAATTAAGCATATAAAGTAGTTATTCTCAAATGGTAACTTGTCTCCCTCAGCAGGTGCATTTTACCCTTTCCAGAGGAAAGGGAAGAAGGTGGCAATGGTTTTTAATAGAGGGAAAAGATCTCCTGGGTTTCTTTCTTTCTCTTTGTCTTTTTCTTTCTCTTTCTCTTTTTTCTTTCTTTCTTTCTTTCTTTCTTTCTTTCTTTCTTTCTCTCCCTCCCTCCCTCCCTCCCTCCCTCCCTCCCTCCCCCCCTCTCTTTCTTTCTTTCTTTCTTTCTTTCTTTCTTTCTTTCTTTCTTTCTTTCTTTCTTTCTTTCTCTTTCTTTCTCTCTTTCTCTCTCTCTCTTTCTTTCTTTCTCTGTAGATATCTGGACCAGAGACTTGCTTTTTTTTGTGACCTAGCAGAGACATTTTAAGCTTCTCATGTGATTCTAACATGCAGCCAGAGTTGAAATCCACTGCCTGGTCCACCCGTGTGGTGTTTGATCGTTCCCTTCCCCGTGTGTACCATTTCCCTGCCTGGTTCTACTCTCTCACTTTTTAATTTCCCACTTCCTCTTCTTTCCTGTCTAGGCCTTACTGGTCCTTCAGAGCTAAATTCAGGTTTGTTCTTTTTTTGGGGGGGGGAGGGGTTTATCATGCTTTATAAAATAAGCTGATAAATTAATACAGTGAGTAGTATGCCATATCTCAGAGTCCAGAGTCCAAGTCACATTCACATGTCTTGATTTGATAGGTACTAGGCAGTGGTGGTTTGGTGGTGGATGCGACCTTACTCCAACATACCTGAACCAAGAGGATGCTGTCCATTTTCATAGAACTCTAAAGGAGGCTTGTGACCGGCACAGCCTGGATCTCTACCCTAAATTTAAAAAATGGTAGGTAAAGGTATTGAACTTGTCATGATACCTAAAGTGTATTCTAGTCCTCACTAAATAACTTTTTTAGCTAATGAAGGTAGAACTGTTCCTTTGCCCACCAGAATTGGGATACCAGTTTTAAGTGGTTTTCATAAGTTATTTAATTAGGAATATTTGAATGTCTGCAGTAAAAATTGGGTAGCAGCATCTTGCTTGATGCCAGATGATTTAAGGTGATTTATACTTGTGAACCCAAGGCTTTTTAATACTATGGTAGGATAGTCTCATCCTAGATGAGAATTGTCTTTTTATTGCCATGGGAATGTATGAGGGCATAGGAAGGGCCGCAGGACTGCTAGGGACAGATGCAAATGGACTAGAGCTTTTGGACAAGGAGAAGGGTGGAACTGGACACTTTGTGAAAGAAACTCTGTAAAGAAAAGAAAAACAAGAATTGTGAGGAGACCCAAAGTGCTTGGTAGCTGTGACATGGAGACTAGGCATAAATTGTTTGGAATAAAAGCACTCAAACTGCTTAGAGCTAATTGGCATACTTGAAAAAGGGAGAACAGAAAGGTTTGTTTGTTTTTTCTTTTGCTTTTATAGCTAATAACTTTGGAATCTTGATGTCCTTTATGTAAGAGCATGGGGTTCAACTTTAAAATCTCCAGAAAGAGAAGGCATTTAAATATTCTTTTCATTTGATATTGCCACTGAAAACTGCACATCCATAGATGCACAGATGTAAGATGAAGGGTATTTTTTTCTCCCACAAGCCAGCATCCTTCTAGCAGGAACACTGGTAGGGTAGACAGTCCCTTTTTTTGGTTTTCTCTTTTTGTCATTTTATCCGGGTAATAGTACTTAATATCTAGGATGGAGGCTAGTTTTAAAAAAAGGACTTTTTAGTGTAAGTATTTAGCAAATTTCTGAATTTCATAATTAAGAGAGGTTTTGAAATAATGTGATTTGGTTAAAGCTGAGTTTACAGCCTTGCTTGGGATGTTAACACAGTGTGCATGTAAAGGAAAGCCAACAAGTCACCGTTGAGGTGACTTATACCGGTGCAGCAGTTCTGGGCATTTATATCTGCTGGCTATTTTTAAGAAACTTTTAAATAGCTGTTAGTTTTCTCTTGTACAGGTTTTTCCACTTAGAGACCCTTATTCTATAGAGATCATCAAAAGAACCATTTCTTCAACGTAAACTAGTCTACACATTTAACATTGAGGAAATGACTTCTTATGAAAGGTTCTCTAGGAGGCATAGGTGGGGAAAAACTCAAGAACAGCTTGATAGTTTCATGTGCTGGCTCACAAGGGTAACCTTTAATATGTTGGAAGACTCTTACGCTCTGAACGTGTCCTTCCAACATCCCTTCTCTCAGTCATGCATGCTATCGAGTCATCAGATTTTATTGCTAAGGGAGACCTTAAAGATTATTTACTATACCTCCTTTGGTGAATAAATAATTGATTCAGAGAGCTGAGGGGCTGGTGCCCAGTCTTGGGCCTGGTTGTGGTTTTGTTGGTAGAAGATTCCTCTCCTGCCTCTTTGAAAAGCAGCAATGCTACTGAGGGTAGCAGCATCACTTGTTCCCAGAAATATAGCACTAATACTGGGCTGTTTGTCGTTTCACTAAAGGTCTTAGAATACTGTATGCTCTCAGGGTTGTCCAACCTTTTGGCGCCTCTGGGCCACACGAGAAGAGTTGTCTTGGCCACACATTAAATACATTGTGACATGTAATCACAATAAAATCTCATAATGTTTTAAGTAAATTTACGATTTTGTGTTGGGTTGCATTCATAGCCCTCCTGGGTTTCATGTGGCCTATGAGCCGCAGGTTGGACACCCTGACTGCCTGCTTGCTTTGCACATAAAAGTAAAAGCACATTCTACATTGGCGCTAACTGCAGAAAATCTACCTAAAGTCCTAGTTTTACTCTCATAGTTGGACAAAGAGTAAGGACACTATGCTGGCATTAGTAAAGGATAGTGCTCTAAGTTGAAACACTTACATTGATTCTCATGCCTTTGGCTTTTTCCCTTTGGTCTCTGATTTGGCCTTGCTCTGTTTTCCAGGTGTGATGATTACTTTTTTATAGCCCATCGCGGGGAGCGCAGGGGCATCGGGGGTATCTTTTTCGATGACCTTGACTCTCCATCCAAGGAGGAGGTGTTTCACTTTGTGCAGAGCTGTGCCCAGGCTGTCATTCCTTCTTATATTCCCCTTGTGAAAAAGCACTGTGACGACTCATTCACCCCTCAGGAGAAGTTGTGGCAGCAGCTCCGGAGAGGACGGTGAGTGAGGGAAAGGAGAATAAACCACCTCATTGTATAACTGCGGGGGAGCAGCTGCAGTAATGGTGGTGTGTTGTCTTGGGCAGATACTTGGCCAGTGCTGTGTTAGTGCTCATTCTGACTTCTTTCCATAACTAGATGAATAGTAAATGAATAAAACATTGTGTAAAATACTATTATAGAAAGGGGAAAATTTATTTCTTTAGTCTATAAATCAGAGATTCATAATAGGCATGTAGTAAGTCCTTGCTGAATTTAATTCAGCTGGTTTCGTTTAGGTAGTCTTCTAGCAATACCCTGCAGCCTTATGCCAAAATAACAGGTATCATTTAAGGTTTTTGCTACTTTTTAAATTTGGAATCACACCTTTTTTTACGGTCATTGTTAAGGGTTCATAGAAATTGTTTTAATGAAAATAATCATTTTAGAAATTATTCACACTTAATGATAACATTTACTAATTAAGGAGTCCTTACTATGTGCCAACCAATGTATGAGTCAGTTTGCATCTAATTTTTTCCACAAACCAATCATTAATCATTTTCTAAATGATAAAACTGCTCATCTAGAAAGACAAGTTCCTTGCCCAAGATTATACAGCTGGTAAATAAAAGATGCCAGGTGTACGACCAGGTTATCAGGACTTCAAAACTTGCAGTCTTTCCCATTCATGAAGGAAGTGGTTGAAGCGGGTTTGTGTTTCCTACCCTGATGCTCCCCCTTAGCCTGCCTGCTCTGTGCATTGAGCTTGGTGAGCTCACTCGGGTGATCACTGTAAAATTATCTTCACTGGGGTACACTTGTGACTCAGCTGCAAATTACCCACTCTGGCAGCTCACGTGTGTTTCTCGGTGCCATCTGAATTGTCTGTATACTGCTGGTCCATAGCTGTAAAATGGATTTTCTCATTTCAGTTCATTCTGTCTCAGGCATATGATACTTTGGGTACTTAAGGAAGTAAGGCTAGAGCCTAGGAAAGGTCAACTTAAATAATGTCCCAAGTCTAAAGATAAATGTTGGTGTTTATTCTACCTTAGGACTGCCTGTGCTTTCTGGGTGTCCATTTATTACCTTGCGAAAATGAGGGTTGATTAATTTTTTTTCTTAGAAACTTCTTCAACAATGCGTCTGTTTTGGAACGTATTTGTTGTTCTTCCTGTGATTTCTCAAATACACTTTTACTTGTTTGTCCTCTTTCCCTTGACTCCTAGGCCCCCAAGGGCTAGGCTCTGTGTGGGCTACAAAGGTGAGCATAATAATAACATGGACCTGTGAAAAGAAGCTCACAGTTTAGTGGGGAAAGTATATCTAAGAGGATAACTGAAAAAGAAAAAAAAAAACCTTATGGAAAGTACAGTATTCTAGCTTTGCATAAGATTTCATATGCAAAACCGGCAGGGTTTGTGAATACTAAGGATGTGAAGCCTTTAACACTTCTTAGACATAGGAATAATGTATTTTTGTGGGTCTTTTTGGTTTTTTTCTTCATTATTTAATGGCAAGACATTTTGCAGTTCCATTTATAAATATCATTGCAAGTAGTCTGGTTTTTTGAGATAGAAGTGTGGGATGTTAGATTAACTTTCAGTTCTACCACCACTGGTCAAGGAGAGCCCCCTTTTACCACCCTTATCTCTGGGCCTTAAGCTGGCAGTAAACTCTGGGGCTAAAGATTACCCTAGCTCTTCACTGCACTTATCAGCACTGTCTTCACTTTGTAACACGTCATTTACAACAGCATCTGCTCCTTCAGAGGTCACTCTTCCTCACCTCCTCCTGCTCCGAAATGAGTTTCCCATGCAGTGGTCACACTGCTTCCCTTTTGGCTTTACAGTGTTTTATTTGACTCGTTTAGTCTCTTGCCTTCAGATACTATTCTCTTCTCAGACTTTGAACTTCAGTTAAGATGTTATAGTCTCCCCACCCCCTCATCGGAGAGCAGAAACTAAAGATTTTTAACTTACTGTTGTTTTGTTGTATTTTGGGGAAGGGAAACAGGATACAGTTTAGGCATTAGTTAAATTGAAGGGAATGATGAAAGTCCATAATCCATAGAGAGGATTAACATAGGGAAAGAATCCAAAAGCTCTGGTCTAAGTGAAACCTGGTAGGAGTCAGAGAGGCTACTGGAGGGGGAGGGGCATCATTCACTGGAAAGGGAAAGCAGCCGGGGATCCTCCAGGAAGCTGATTTAGGGAGCTCCTGACAAGGCGCTTTGATAAAGACATCAATACAAATTACAGAACCACAGCCATTCCTTAAATCCCACGTTTCAGAAAGGGAACATCAGGCAGGGATGGGAAAGGGCCGAGAGACTGAAGGTCTTTTCTATGGTCTTAGAGAGGAAGGAGTTAAGAAGATTTGCTTAAATTATATTTTGCATACTAAATTATATTTTGCATAGTAATAAGATTCTCTTAATTATATTTTGCATACTAATAACTATTTAATACCTTATTATACAGGCATAAGGCATGTCTGTAGAATAAAGTTGAGCACTGCACCTCAACCCGCTATCTTTTATTATGATTGCCATGAATCCACAAGAAGACTGAATTATATTACCACTTATTAATGTTATTTAACTACTTCAATAGAAGGAAATATCTAGAATATGTTAGTAAATATTAATAGATTGCTGTTATCTGCATGTTATAACATGTGAGTTATAGGCAGTGAAATGAAATCTTTGAACTCTTTGACTTCAGGCTTATTATACAGGCATAAGGTTTTAAATAGTTATTAATTTACAAAATTCAGTCACTGATAAGTAAATAGTGAGGACTAGAAAGAGATTTATAGATATAATTTATTTAAATTTACTCAGAGCCTTTGCCAAGTTTCCACATACAATAGTGCTGTCTAAAAATTGAAATATTCCAGGATTCTAGAAGATGTTTTCTTCTATGTGTAATTAAAGACAGTAAGAAGTGGATAAAAGAGAATATTGGATGAAGTTTAGAGTAAGAGAGTAGTTTCTAAGTTGAGAAATGATCTGAAAGGGGTACTATTTATTGACACTTCTACATTTATGGATCATTCTAAATTCCTGGGTAGTAGAACTTACTACTTTTTTGAAATTGGGAAGAAGAGACCCTTTTTCAAAGGATCCAATAAGGTAGAAGGCAATCACAGGTTTTTAAGCTAGACAGAGTTTAGATCTGACTCTATGACAGTTAATGGAAAACTTGTACTAAACCAAGTTTATGTTGATGCTAAGGATATTTTTCTGAGAAAATAAAATTGAGTGCTGCAACTCAACCATTACCTTTTATTATGATTGCCATGAATCTACTGGAAGACTGAATTATATTACCTCTTATCAATGCTATTTAACTACTTCAATAAAAGGGAATATCTAGAATATGTTGGTAAATATTATTAGGTTGCTGTTATCTTCATGGCCTTTTGATTAGAAGACTTTTACCCTGTATTAGAATGTGTAAGTTATTGGCAGTGAAATGAGATCTTTGACTGAAATATCTCAGGCCATAGAGCAGGACCGGGGGGAGCTGTGTGCTATCCTCATCAAGGTGCCCTTTCATTTTCACGATTCTTGTGACTTAAAGTTCTCAGCTTTGTGTTCATACTTTTTATTTATTGGAAAACAGCCTTCTTATTTTATAACTGCTCTGTGTTGGGACCAAATCTGTATCCTATTGTTTGCTGAATAGAGTACCCTTTTATTTACGCCTGTCCAGATGGAGAAATCTCAGCTGACTGTAGACGGGTGTTTCCCGGACTAGCTCCAGCTGATGGAGGGTGGGCGGGAAGAAGCCCTCACCCCCTTTAAGAATTCTTTATGGACTTATCCTTAAGATAGATTTTACTCAGCTCACCCTTAATACTATTTGGTATCTTTATGTCAGGTATGTTGAATTTAACCTGCTGTATGATCGGGGTACAAAATTTGGCCTCTTCACGCCAGGATCCAGGATCGAAAGCATCTTGATGTCTTTACCTCTAACTGCCCGGTGAGAATAACATATCATGATAATTATTCCCCACACCCAACCCCCTAACTCCCATCAAGCAGGAATGTTGACAGTGCATATCTTACCTGAAGACATCACTGGTTTTGACTTTGTTGATTTTATAAGAAAATCATAGTCAAGTGATTAAGGAAAATCAAAATGGATATTTTAAGCAGTGGTGGGACGAATGATAGAGCTTTGTGTGGGAGCAGGGAAAGAAAGGATAGAGGGAGTGAAGGGGTGATGGTGTCTAAGGGGCCAGATTAACCTTCCCTACTTGGTTGTTTTCTCAGAAGAGGTATTTATTTGAATGTATCAGTTTTTTATACTTAATTTCATTAGAAATTATTGCACTTGGATGAAATGTCTTATTCTCCATTATGGAGAATTAAGCTTGTTCAGAAGTATGAGAGATCATTTCAGGTGCTCGGCATTCCTTCTTTGCTTTACATGCTGCTGTGAGCTTCCTGAAGGTTAATTAATTTGTGTGGGAAATTTTATTTTGTTTTATTTAAATTTTATTTTAGTTTTTATTTTTTTAAATTTTTATCCTCACCTGAGGACATACTTATTGGTTTTAGAGAGAGGGAAGGGAAGGGGAGAGAGAGAGAAACATTGATGTGAGAGAGAGACATCAATCAGTTGCCTCTTATATGTGCCCTAGCTGGGGATGAACCCACAACCTAGTCATGTGCTCTGAACAGGAATTGAACCCATGGTTTACTACACGACACTCCAGCCAACTGACCTACACTGGCCAGGACTGTGTGGGGAATTTTAAAGACATATGTTTATACTGGTGCTATTAGGTTAATGAAGATCTACAGTTGACTTTGTTACCTTTAGGAAAATGAGAATCATGTGTGTCCAGACTGAAATAGAAAAGATTAGGAAAAAACCAAAATTACTATTGTTTGCTTTACAAGAGCTAGAATCTTCTTTTCTCCATGAATTTAAATGTCCAAATAAGAAAGAACTACTGGGCGACATGGACAGTGTGCCTTGTGTCGTTCTGCCATGCAGATCGAGCCTTGTGAGATCAGTGCCCTCTGTGGTTGTCACGGCCTTCACAATGGCATTGGCTCTGTCTTTGCTTAGCTGATTGTCTTGGGAGTCTTATGTCCTTGGCTAAAAGCTTACATACATCACTGTGAGGTATTTCTGCCACTACAGAGAGGAGTGTGATGAAAAAGTAGAGATGAGTTCTTAAAGCCTCTGGCAATCAGCCTTATCACCTCTGGCTCCTAATCATGATGCACATTCCAAGCAGATATGGGTGGATTAGAAGTTACTCCCTTGCTCAGTTGAATATCATTAACACAGCGGGTTCCTTTTAGCTTCTCAAGGTCTATACTAAGGGGTCTGCAAACTTAAGGCTGCAGGATAAATCCAAGTCCAATTGTAGTTTGCCTATGTACAGCACTTGAGCTAAGAGTGGATTTTACATTTTTAAAAGATTTATTAAACACAAGAGAATATGCAGTAAACCATATGTGGCCCCACAAAGCCTAAAGCATTTGTTATGTGGCCCTTTATAAGGAAAGTGTGCTAACCCCTGGTCTAAGCCACTGTCTGCCAGACTTCATACTACAAGCTAACCATTTTGACCATATGTATATATTATCTGATATATTGTTTACTTTAGTTTTATACTCTTATTTTTTTCTGAGAGTTTATTTAAAAAGGCAAACCAATATTGCAATAAATAGAAATTAACACATAATAAATGTGTAAGTGTGAAGCTAAAAAGAGTTTGCCCATGGATCATCTCAGGTTCTATACTTTATAAAACCATGGTTTATAGTAAAAGTGCATTTTGGTTCTGGGATGTTAGTATTAGCCAAAGTATGCTTAGGAAGTAGGAAACATTCCTTTAGCAACAAATATTTTTTAAAAGCCTAGTGGGTAAAAGGCGTATTAGGCACAGTGGAGACAAAGAGGTATAAGATATTTTTCACTCCTTTCAAATTTTATTTTTCATTTATCTTAAGTAAAGAGGTATGCGTGTCAATTATTATATTTTTATTATTATATTTCTGCTTGTTTTGAATGTACCTAGCTGGGAGTACATGCATTCACCGTCAGAAAACTCCAAAGAAGCTGAAATTCTGGAAGTTCTACGCCATCCAAGGGACTGGGTGCACTGATGCAGGCAAAGCAGCCTCCCTGGGGATAGGGGACACAGAAGGCCTGCCCCCACTCCGCTGGCCAGCACCGTTGCCACTGTGTATCAGTTAGTTACCTGCATCTTGAGCCCCAGCCCTCACTCTGGAGTCTGCCTCCTTGGTGGGTGGAGAGATGTGTTTTAAGCACCACAGGTTTCCATTGGATGTTGTCGGGGGTGAGTGGGTGAGATGGCAACTTGTCAGAGTCCATTCGTGGGTATAATTCTCAATTACGCTTTTCGAACCACTTTATATGACTAGTTTAGAAAATATAACATTGGGTTTCCTGTACTGAGTTAAGGGAATTTAAATATTTTGTATCAGGGAACTTCCCATGTTATTTTCATTTCATATTTTTTTTTAAAGTTTTAGTTTCTATGAAAATCTGTCTTGGGATAAATTTATTTTCATTTATTCAATAAGGTTGAGTTTCTTAGTAATTTTAGAAAGCAACTTCAAGGTTAAAGTTTTACTTTGTGATTACCAAAGTTTCTTTAATCGTAATGTTTATATTTATGTATCTTGCTGTAGAAATCATAATATTGTATAATACTCACTTTTTTATAACAATAGATATTTGAGAACACTTGAAATTTTCTTAATCTCTGCATGCATTACAATTTAGTGATTACCTGTAGTTGTTAAGTCTACATCACTGTTATTTAATAAGGAACTTCCAATTTGTAACTTTGATTTTTGTAGAACTATAATTTGTTAATGTTGGAATTCTCTGCACTTTTGAATGTGAAAGCTTATAACATAAATTCTGGTATTTAAAATGTTCTATTGCAGACAGTTCTATATGGAAATCTGAACAACCCTAGGGATGTTATAAATATAGGTAGGAAATGTTATGAGTGTGAGAAGCATGTAGGCATTTTATAAATGTATTTTTCTTTTAAAATAAAATCAAAACAAAATTCTTAATATGGCTTCTTTGTTTATATCATATTATGAACATGTTTGGGTTTTTTTTAATCCATAATATGTTAAAGTTTGTAAGGAATAGTATCTTCCTACCTAGTATTAAGCATTATCTTGGAACATGCCGAATATATGTAACTGTGTGTGACTCCTTAGGGCTGGAAAATGTGTGACTTCTCCAGCTGTCCTACAACAGATCTGCTGATTAAATTTTATTATGGAATGTGTCTATATTTTTCACTTTTTTTCAGGATAATTGACATAGAGAAGACAAGTATTTCTAAGTTCTAAAACCCTAGTTTCTCATTCCTAAGTATTTTACTCCCTAAAATGTGAGTTTTGCACTCAGATTTTCATGGCAGCTTTATTCACAATAGCCAAAATTAGAAGTAGCACAAATGCCCATCAGTAGGTGAATGGATAAAGAAATTGTGATATAGCCATAGGTTAAAATATTAAGTAATGAAAAGGAATGACTACTGGTAAACATAATGTGGATGAATATGAAAAAAGCATAGTGCCAAGTGAAAGAAGCCAGTCACAAAAGAGCTCTCACTGTTTACAGTATATGCAAACCTCGAAAAGTCAAAACTAACAACAGAAAGCAAATCAGCAGTTGCTAGCGTTGGGGGCTGGGAAATTGAGTGAAGGGGAACAAGTGAATATTGAGGTGCTGGAAAGGTTCCGTGTGTTAATTGTGGCAGTGCTTACCAAACTGTATGCATTTATCAAAATTCACTGAACATCACACTTAAAATCATGGAATTTTATTGTGTATATAGTTTATACTTCAACAATGCCAATTAAATTAAAAACCTATAATATAGGCATAGAGGAATGAATAAGTAAAACTCAGTTTGCCTTTTACAATAAAAAGTCCTTTATCATACAGATCTGCTAGCATATTTAGTTGTGGTTTGGGCTTTTGGGGTCTGGGCATTTGACTAAAAATTTCAAATATTTTCTGTGCCTATCTGTTTTTCATACCCTTTGGGATGTATTTCTCTGACAGATGAGACCAGGGAAGAAAAAAACCTAATTGCAGAACTATTGGAAAAAAGGTCATTCTTCTGTTATTCAGTGACATAACTTGGGGGGGGGAAAAAGGTCGTTCTGTTGTTATTCAAGGTGAATTTCTCTAAGCACAACTTTTTATCTGTCAGTATACTCTGCCTACTTACCTATTGAACTGAATGTTTGAAATACAGAACTTCGGCGTGCTAACGTGCACCAGATTAGAAGGCCAAATAATCTGTTCCTTTTTGACTACTTATCCTTCTAAATGTTTTTTCCTGTTACAATCAAGGCTGGAATTATCTGCAGGTTTTTACTCATACGTCAGTGCTTAGGCTAGGACCACTCGAAGGCTAGGCTCAGTGTGGGCTGTAGACCTCGATGTCTACAGGGGGCTCAGAACTCACATTTCACCCAACAAAGTATGCATGGCTGCCTTCTGACCTAGCCCCAGAGATTATGTAGTGTCTCATCCACATTCCATGAGTTAAGTGAGTCACTAAGCCGCCTACAGATTCAAGGGGAAGGGAATGAAGAGTGTCAAAGGGTTTGTGGACATCTTGGAAACCACCACATAGCCTTTCACACCCAAAACCACAAAAGTGACTTGACTCTTTCCCTCATTGTCCTAATGAACTCCTGTTGAGACTACCTTTGACATGTATTCTGATTTTCTTCCTCTGTTCACTGCCCCACATTCCCTCTTACCTGAATTTCTGCAATACTATCAATGTAAGAAATGTCCTAGCCTGTAAGAATTTTTATGAGTTTGTTTGAGCCAAACTGATGACAATTCCCAGAAAGCAAAACCTTGATGAATTGAGAAAGTGCTCCGGAAAATGTCAGTTTTACACCTTATTTTATACATTACAATAAAAGAGAAGATGTAAGAGCGCTACATGAAATCCATTGGTGGTAGATTAGGGAGGGGGGAGAAAGCAAAGCCAGGTAGGGAAGTAGTGGGGGAGAACCTCTGGGATTGGATAAAAGAAGTGATAGACACATACTTGTTTTCCATAGGTGGATAACAGAATAGTTAACAGTCAAGAATTAACACAGTAACAATAACAATGAGGAGATCTGTGGTCTCCCTCTGGCGTGGTGCCTCTGCTTTGAGGGGTCTGGATAAAAGGAAATTTGACGTTCCAAAGGTATGTTAATGATAAAAAGATCATAGGCTCAGTTAAGGTCATGGTTGACTTTTGTCAGGAAAGAGTCTAGCGTAGCACGTGACTGCCTCCCGTGACTTGCTTTTAGTTAGAAAGTTTCTAATTTAATTATGGCAGGTCTCTGAGTTTGTAAGTCCACCATTCAGGCCTCCCCTGGACTTGCCAATTTTAGTACATGGCTCCTTTTCATCCATACATCCCCCTTTTGGTCATAAATCAATCCAAAGGGTGCATTTGATGGCCAATCATTCTTTGTTGGTTAACAAGGTCCCGCGGTGTTCGGAAGTCTCATTCCTGGGGTGTCTCAGTGTCAGTGTTTGTCTTGCTGAACGGTGAACTGTTAGGGATGGGGCAAGACCAAAACCTTGGTTGGAAGTCTAGGCTGAATTTTTCTTAAAAGTGAAAAGTAGGTAAGTGGGAGGCAGCCAGGTCTTATGAGCTTTTATTAAGAAAAACACCCTCGATCATTTCTAACCTAGAAGCTATCATGATTCAAGAATTGTTGCCTATCTTACTTTTCTATATTTTTCATCTAATATAATATTTACTTACAGTTCAAGGGCACACCATACACATACATACTTTTTCAATTTTCACAATATCACCATGAGATATGCTCCTATTCACTATAGCCCATCTACTTCCAATTGGAAGCACTCAGTTGCTGTTATCAATTTGATTCTCACTAGTTGTGCAATTAGAAGCTGTAACTGTAACTTTTAATCAGGGCCAAGCTGTAAGAACAAATGCTATAAATTACAATTATCATCAGGAGAAGAGTAAGAGTTTCATAAGGGAATTTCCTGTGCCTCAGCAGCAGTTACAGAGGGATACATTTTTATAGGCATTTTAGCTTCTATCAGAGTTGACGTAGTTGTCTTTTTTGGGTTAAGGGGTAACCATATTTCCATAATTGGATTCTAGTGTTTATACATAAAATTCCTTACTTCACAGTTCTTTTCTGCTAACTTTCTACAACTTCCCTTGTTCGTAGTTTGTTTTTTCTTTTTCTCATTTAGAAGTATCCACCTTATTAGGAAAAACTACTTTTAACTTCTCTTAAAAATATACACATCTCCCCATAGCTGGTGTGGCTCAATTGGTTCAACTGTCAGCCCATAAACCAAGAGGTCACAGGTTCAATTCCTGGTCAGGGCACATGACTGGGTTGTGGGTTTCATCCCTGGGAGAGGCAACAATCAATGTTTCTCACATTGAAGTTTCTCTCCATCTCTCTCTCCATCCTTCCCTCTTCTCTAAAGTCAATAAGCATGTCCTCAGGTGAGGATTTAAAAAAAAAGGATAAATATACATATTCAACCCTGGATAGTGTGGCTCAGTGGGTTGAGCAACGTCCTGTGAACCATAAGGTCGCCAGTTCGATTCCCAATCAGGGAACATGTCTGGGTTGTGGGCCAGGTCCCTGGGTTGGGGCGTGCAAGAGACAACCACACACTGATGTTTCTCTCCCTCTCTTTCTCCCTCCCATCCCCACTCTCTAAAATAAATAAAAAATTTTAAAAAATACACATTTTTTTCCTTCCTTTTGTAAATAGAATTTCTTCTAAACTTCAAAAAGCAGCCACAAAAAAAGTATTATTGATAATACATCTAGATTCATAGGGCAGCTAGGAACTATTTCATAAGAACAAAGTCTATGTTGACCATAGATTTCAGGTTGAGGAGTACTATAAAGAGAGCTTTTGGGCAAGAGAGATTAAAAGTTTTTGAAAATTTACTTAGTTGAGTTTTAATTGTACATTTATATGTCCTACCAATTCAGAGAACTGGGGATGATAGGCACAAAAAATATTGTAGAATAGGGCAAATGTTACAAATGGTTTACATCATTTGAGTCACTGTAAACTAAGTAAAATGAGTCACTGTAATTAAGAGGGAATTCCCCAATAGGGAATCATTATTTTTTCCTTTTTTTAAATTATATTTTATTGATCATGCTATTATAATTGTCCCAATTTTTTCCCTTTTGCCCTCCTCCACCTAGCACCCCCCACTGCCTCAGGCGATCCCCACATCATTGTTCATCTACAGGGCTCATGCATAGGTTTTTCGGTTACTCCATTTCCTACACTGTGTTTTACATCCCCATGGCTATTATCAAACTACCTACTTGTACTTCTTAATCCCCTCACCTCTTCACCCATTTTCCCGTACTCACCTCCCATCGGTCAACCATCAAAACATTCTCCGTATCCATGATTCTGTCTCTGTTTTTCTTGTTTGCTTATTTTTTAAGATTCAATTGTTGAGATATATATATACATATATATATATAGCCATTTTATTGTTCATAGTTTTTATCTTTTTTTTTCCTTAAATAAGTCCTTTTAACATTTCATATCAATAATGGTTTGGTGATAATGAAGTCCTTTCATTAGTTTTTCTGGTCTGGGAAGCTCTATGTCTTCCTTTCAATAATAAATATCTTTGCTGGGTAGAGCAATGTTGGCTGTAAGTCCCTGCTTTCCACGACTTTGAATATTACTTGCTAATCCCTCTAGCCTTCAAAGTTTCTTTGGAGAAATCAGCTGACAGTCTTATGGGAACTCCTTTGTAGGTAACTCTCTGCTTTTTGCTTTGTGCTTATATGATTCTCTCTTTATCTTTAACTCCTAGCATTTTAATTATGATGTGTCTTGGTGTGGTCCTCTTTGGGTCCAACTTGTTTGGGGCTCTCTGTGCTTCCTGGACTTGCATGCCTATTCCCTTCACCAAATTAGGGATATTTTCTTTCATTATTTTTTCAAACAGAATTCCAATTTCTTGCTTTTTGTCTTCTCCTTCTGGCATCCCTATGATGAGAATGTTGGACCTCTTGAGGTTGTCCCAGAGGCTGCTTATACTACCCTCATTTTTTAAATTCTTTTTTCTTCTTGTTGTTCTGATTGATTGTTTTTTGCTTCCTTATGTTCCAAATC